TGCAACCATAGTAAAACAAAGACTTATATTTTTGATATTTATTTTATATATTTAAATGCCATTTAACAAAGAAAAATCAACCCAAAAAAGTGAGTTCACGCGTCACCTCTGACACACATGTCATAGGTTCGCCATCACTGGTATAGGGACGTGTGGTGTGGTGGGGGAAAGGAGCAAAACCAGGGATCATTGTGAAAATAAAACTATCCCAAATCATCATATCCGAAACGCCCCCTAGGGGGCAGTACTATCCTTATTGAGAACCACTGGCTTAGCCTGATCTTGGGAGGAAGGAACACTGGGAAGCCCAGGACAATGCCCACGACACAAACCCTGGGGGGGCCCTTACTATGCACTGGAATGCCTGGCTGACTGAGTCGGCCTGGGCCTGTCCCCTGATTGCTAGCCAGACACCAAACAGGTAATTACCCTCATGTTATTACAATTGCGACGGTGCGAAGAAGGAAAAGTGCTGCTGTGCGGTGGTTTGCCACAGGGAGCTGCCTAGACCAGGAGGTCAGAGACGGCTTCCTGGGGGCGTGATGTTTAAGCTGAGGCTTAAGGGATGAATGAGGGTGGCCCTGTAAAGAGAAGGGAGAAATTGCATGGTGATAGATAGTTACTAGATTTATCATGGTGAGCACATCATAAGGTATATAAATGTTGAATTACTATGTTGTACACCTGAAACTACTATCATATTGCATGCCAACTATGTTTTAGGAAAATAATTAGGGCTCACGGGGGCCGGGAGGCTGGGAGCCTGAGGAAGTTTTCTGCTGTATAAATAGGAAGTAAACAGAGTGAGGATGGCGGTGGGGTTGTTTTGGGTTTGTGTAAGAAAAGGGAAATAGGAGAGAGGGAGACTGAAGACGCTGGAAATACAGTATAATTGCCAAGCAGCAGTGAGGGCCCACCGGAACCAGGGCTCACGACTATCAAGCGACAGGGGTGGAGCAGGCAGAGGGGAATTCCACCAGGTTATGATTTGGCCACATGAAAATGCTGGAGCCTCAAAATAAGAGGAGAAAGGGCGCTGCGGCTTTGTGCAGCGGAATGAGAACTAGTTACTGAATTTAGGCTGAGAAAGGAGCTCAGTGAGGACCTGGGAGGCGGGAGGGGTATAAGCGTACAGAGGTGAGCAGCCAGGGCCCCTGTGGTCAAGTTCATCAGCTGGAAAGGAACCAGATATAATGCGGGAAAGCGTGCTAAGGACTGTCACCCGCGGCTCACGCTACAATCAATTTCCCCCACGGTGGGGGCCAGGGAGCCTGGAGATTGCTGGGGTGTGTGTGTGTGACGCCAGTGGACCCTTGTACTCCAGGGACGCAACGTAATTTGGACGCAGACCCCTGCCCCAGAGATGAGCGACACCCGACTGCCCTGAAGAAGGAGCAGAGGCGGGTTCGAGGGCTCGGGCCTCGGAGTCTGAGCCGCGGGGCTCCCAGCAGCGGGACCGACTGCCT